GATAGAAGTACCGATTATCTTATCAATAAACATATCTCCTATTAATTTTTTAATATATTTAAATATTTATTATCCAAAGGCCTAGATTTCTTTCTTAGCAAGTAGTTGTTAAGCTTAAGCACCAAGAATATTTGACTGCTTTTAAGTCACTCGAAATCCACTTTTATAACCACAGATTTTACTTTAGAGAATTCCGATATTTTCAAAGTGTTAACATAACGACTGACCTTGGTCTAAGCTACTTGCTAGCTAGCAACTGCATGATACAGAATAGACTACGTAGTATGTTCATATTGCTTGTTAAAGTTACTTATGGGTCGATTCTGAGACGATCTGTAAGCCCTGTAAGCAAAAATCTGTAAAAAATACAGGAAATGCAATTCTAAGTCAACCGGTTACATACAGATTTTCTTATAGGTCTGTGAATAGTTACAGGTAGACAAAAGTTCTCTGTAGATTGTTATAGGAGGTATAAAACCTATAAAAACATATAACCTAAAAAACAATTTTAGAATTGAATTATTTGACAAATACACAAAAATGAATGGCCATCAAGTTAATTTATTTATAGGTATTCTTTTGGAAGAAAATGTTAACCGGTTAGTAATGTAGATACCTATTACCACTATAATAATAATAATCCTTCCTCCATGCATAAAAGATTCAGTTTTAAGTTAAAGTTCGATTCTTTGAGAAGTTTTGTTACATGAACCTTATTCCTTCATATTTTTTTAGCAATTACATGAGATTAGAAAGAAGACGACTGAGAGATGAATTCAATCCATTTGATAAGCCAGATAGGTATTTTAAACAAATCTTCCGTCTGGACAAAAATAGTGTGCGATTTTTAATAAATTCACTGACACCACATATTAGAATAAATAATTTGGGAATCACTTTTGAAGTTAAAGTAAAACAATCATATTTACCAAAATAATAAATTATAATAAGTATATCTTTAGGTTTTTGCTACTTTGAATTTTTTGGTTACTGGCTCCTATCAGAATGTAATTGGTTGCAATGCTTGGATAGGAATTAGTCAAACATCAATAAGTATAGCTATTTCTTATGTATGTGGGTTAAGTGTACGAGTGCTGATGAGAATATGGGTAAAATTTCCAGTCACTGAAAGAAAAAAATTCAATAAAACGATGGTTAAATAAAACTTTCTATATTAATAAAGAAACGTACCTACTTAAAACCTCTTTTTTTTTAGATTTTATGAAAAATTTAATTTAAGAGGTGCAATTGATGGTACTCATGTAGAAATATTAGCACCACCATCTACTGATGAACATTTCCCACCATTTGTGTATATTAATAGAAAAGGAAAATTTTCTATTAATGTTATGCTCGTAAGTGAAATAGGTAGTTAATAGGTAGGATAATATTCTAATTAAAATTTAGATTTCAGATGCAAATTGCAAAATTCTTGCCTGTTGTGCTAGGTACCCTGGATGAACACATGATTCTGCAATCTGGCAATTAAGTGCAATAAGGGACCACCTATTAAATAATTTTAATGAAGGTGATTTGTCTACACGATTAATTGGTAATAATCATGATAGAAAAAATATAATTTTACCTATGAAGTTAAAATTCTTTTTTAGGAGATAGTGGATATACACTGGAACCTTGGTTGTTTACCCCATTTCTGAATCCACAAACACAGCTAGAAGCAAATTTTAATGAACACCATATACGAGCAAAGAATGTTATCGAAAGAACTAATGAGGTATTAAAAGGACGGTTTAGGTGTCTCTATATATACATGCTGTATTTTACATAATATGGCATTACATGCAAATTTAATATTGCCGGAAGATGGAATAGAGTATGCCGAAGAAGAAATTGTTAACAGTAATAATTACATAACTACATACTTTCCCTAATAAATCTCATATTTTATTTTAGATCATATACAAGCACAAGCAGGACATAATTTATTACAACAAGGAAGAGAATTAAGGCAACAATACATACGAGAAAATATTGTAAATTAATATATTTTTGATAACTAGTTATAAAAATATACTTACTATTAAACACAGGTCTTTTATTGTTTCTAAACCATATAAATCCTATAACTTTGTTATATCAACCCATAATTAAAAATAAAACTGAAGTTATGGTGGATCTCATAATATGCAGGAGAAATATCTTTATGGTTGTTTTGTCTTTTAACTATAACTACTGTTGCCTGTCAAACACAAAATTACTGAACCTGCATTTAAGACTTATTGCCACAGGTTGTTTATTTACTGGGAATATTATTTATGCCTTTTTCTTTGTATTACATTTCTTTCAGTAAATAAACTTTTAATAAATAAATTTTTATTATATTAAATATAAAATCCATAAAAAATCTCAAAAACAAACGAAACAATATTTTATACAAACTAAAAATCAGTCTTCTAAATAAACTAAAAAGTATATGTAAATGTTAAAACAAAAATCAAAAACAAAATATTTATACAAACAAAAAATCGGTTTTTTAAATAAACTAAAAAATAAATGTAGATGTTAAAACAAAAATCAAACAATATTTTATACAAACAAAAAACCAGTCTTCTAAATAAATAAAAACATATATGTAAATGTTAAAACAAAACAACATTTTATATTAACTAAAATAAATAAATAAAAGAGCTCGAAACACATGAATTCATCCATTTCATCAATCCAATGAAAACTCAAAGTCTTTGTTTATAAATTTAAATTTTGCAATTTCAAATTGCAATTGCTGCCTCTTTAATTTTAATTTCTCTGCTTCATTTTTGCAATATTCCTTGGAAAATTTGTCCAAAACTTGCACAATAGTCTCTTGACTCTTAGAAAATATACTGGAATTTTCTATCAGATTTTCTGTAAGCACTGACAGAGGTTTATTTTTTGTCCTTTTTACCGAGTCAATCTTTTGTGGAGGAGGTAGTAGATATGTAAATAACTTCTACATTCTCTTCATGTTATACTTCTACTTCATTCGCATTTTCTTCATCACCTGAGTTATTAGTTTCTCTGTCCTCATGAGTTACACCAATATCTATGCCCTCATCTGAGTGACATCAGTTTCTATGCCCTCATAGAGTGTAACATTCTTTGCCCCAGTAACTGTGACTTTACCCTAAACTGAAAGACCTCGTTCTTCAAGAGCATTTAATTTTAACTCAGTTTGGGGCCCTCCACCAGTTTCCATTAATAATGTTTGCATTTTCCTATATTTTGATTTTGTTGCATATTTCCAATCTAAAAATCTTTTTTTCCATTCCTCTACTGACAGGGATGGCCCATTCGCAAGAGAATTTAATTTAGTTGTTAACTCTTCCCATTTTTTTAAAATATGGTCCGGTTGAACCGTTGGGTTTATTATACCACTTCTAAAAAAATAATCATTTTCGATGGTACTTAAATAAATGTCCAGTTGTTCTGTGCTTGTATTTTTCAATCTTCTCCGTTTTGCGCTATAAAATGTACCTTGATTACTAATTTAACATTAATTATATAAGTATTTACCGCATGATGCCGTAAAAAAGAATAATTTTTAACTAAAATAACTGAAAAAAGTCGTAAAAGTATATTTAAGAATTCAGATGACAGATTTAAGATTTTAGGTTATAATTTTGACATCAAAAATAACCATGAAGTTGCTGTTTCTATAAGAGCAGGCCTGTAAATTATCACTCTACAGTTTGGGTTTCAGAATCGCGTAATTTGTAAATCTGGAAGAGTCGAAGTTACAGAGCCTGTATCTTACAGATTCTATACCTTATAGGTGATTTCTCAGAATCGACCCATTAGTTTTTAAGAATGAATTATTTTATCGTGTATTGTGTTTTAATTATTTTGTGCTGATTTAGAGTGGAAAATAAGGACTAAACAACATTATTACTGGGTTGTTAGTTTTACCAAATTCTATTTTTATAAGTCAACATGTCCTTCTTTAATATAAACTTTTAATTATAATGTATATATTGATTTTAAAACCAAAAAGGCTTTATTTTTAATTATTTCTTTTCTTTTCAAAACTGGTGACAATGAATTTTTCGAAACCAGTTCCATAATCAACATTATATAACTGGTTGCGTAAAGTAGATAATTTTAATACTTGCTGCGATTACAAAAATGTCACTAATATGTCAAAATTAGAAAAAAATATTTTGATAGTTTTGGAAATTTGGTCTTGGTATATTATTTTAGAAATTTGCTTTAGGATAATTATTTAGAAAATTGGGTCCCAAAATATTTTTTAAATTTGGGTATTGATTATTTCGTATTTGTGAATTTATTATTTGTAAATTGATTATTATAGTTTGGTTTACCTTCTTGGGGTCAAGATGAATTAAAATTTTTCATTGGAACTACTCTATGAGAAGGTTTAAAAGTATTTTGAAAATAAAGGGATTACTTCTATTCTGGCTATAAAGACAATTGTCTTCCTCAATAACTAATGACATCGCTTTTTCTATGCTCTTAGGGTTTCTTAGTCTAATATTATTTTATGAGTGGTTTGAAAGGCCTCTTATTAATAATTTTAAACTATAAGAGTTTACTATGTTAAATCTTGGATTAGGCAATCTAACTTGATTAGAGAAGCTATTAAAGTTAAAGCTCTTCCAGTTAATGTTCCTATTAGGATAGCTCTTAAAATTCTTGATTTGTGGATTAGTAAAATTAGTAACTAAATTTTCACAAGTATCTAACAAAACTCCTAAAGTATGTGGGTTTCCTTCATGAGATGGAATAATATCCATATTTAATTCTAATAATTAATAATTAGTGATAGCCATGTTATTTACGTCTTCCAATATTAAACTGTTAAAACTATTAATTAATTCATCAATATCTGAGTTAATAAAAAATATGAAGTTTTTAATCCTTAGATAAGTTAGGTTAGAATAAAATTGCTAATTGATCCTAATGATCAGATTGTAATAATCGTAAATACTTGGATACTTGGGGCATTTATTAAAAAAAAATAAATACATAAATATTACTATTTTTTATTTAAAGTAATACTCGTACAATACTTAAAACATTGTAATTACTTTGAAATAAAGAGGGTAAGCAAGGAAAAATGAAAAGGAAATGAAAATTATGGCTTACAGTCTAGTGTCAGAAGTTTTATTGTAACTTCTTGAAAATTCTTAAGCGGTAGACGGATTCAAGCGATTTTGTCCTTCTTCTGTCGGAACTGGATCTCAAGCTGATTTATTGTGATTTTGAAAAAATTTCGGCTTCAGAGTGGAACTGGCGATTTTTGTCATTCCTTTAGTTGGTTGTTTTGGCTTTGACGATGTTGTCTTCCACCAGAACGATTTTTTAAAATTACGTTTATCCAAAAACTTTAAACTATTGAAACTATTAAAATAAACCGACTGACCTACTGACTGCGCCAGTTAAATGATTATACGAAGTCTTAAAAAAAAAAAACTTAGTTTTAAAAATAAACAAAGATTTTGAGCTCTATTCATCTACCAAGCTTAATATAAACTGAAATATATTAAAATAAAAATATTAATGTAAAAATACTCGTATTCCATGGTTAAAGTAAAATAAGCAAAATATGTATACCTAATGTATTTCTAGGAATATAACTCCGTATAATGAAAAATAATTAGGTATTAAATATATTTCAAATTACACATCAATTAATTGCGATTAACAATGAATTTATTCTAAATACTCTAAAGTTGATACAAATGCATCGTTCATAGCATTCCTATAAAATCGTAAATACATAGAACGAATTCTTGAAATTTTAATTTTAACAATTTTTTTCCATTTCTTCGTTATTACCACGTGTCTTCTTTTGTTCCTCTTTCGCAATCGTTTATGAAACATAAACTCTCCAATTAAAATTAGTCCTAAAAAGAAAACATTTTTAGTTGGGAGATTTAGAAGACTAAAATTGCAAATAATAGTTGAAACCACATTTTTTATAAAAATCTATTGGTTAGGTACCGTAGATATACCTACAAGACAGAATGTTACCAAACCCTTTACCAATCTTTTACAGACATGAAAAAACGAAAACCTCAATACCGTTTTTTTCAAAGTACAAAGAAAAAAAATTGAAATTGTCATATTCGTTAATTTTTTTAAGGAAGTAGTAGTGTATTTTTGTGAAACTTTTTTCTGTTATGGTATGGAATGTAAGCTTTTGATTTCTTTTGACCTCTATGTGTTCCTTACTTAATAATTTAATAATCCTATAAATTAATAATTTTATTAGGCCCCTTACGGATTTTAATATACCCTAAAACTTTGCGCAACTGTAATTAAAACAATAATAAAACTGAACTTGAAATAAATATGAATAAAAATTCTAATCTAACTATTATTTGTAATTTAATTACATATATGTATAGATTATAAATCTATTACACTAATCTGGTAAAACTACAATTTGTGTAAACCTTAGATAAAAGAGACCAGAGATATAACATACACCGGTGTTTAACCTGGTTAAGAAAGGTTAACTAAATGGGGGAACTGGGCAGAGACCCGAACTCTGTGACAGGGACCGGGCTTTGTTTATTAGCATCATAATGAACTATTAGATTTATTTAAAATATATGTTTAATGGAATTTTGTATTATGAAATAAAATTAACGTGATTTTTTAATATCAAACAGATGCACGACATTTTATATAATATTTCGTTAGCGTTTATTTACTACGGACTTTTCAGCAAGAGACTACAGTAAAATGTTGAAATAGAATATTCTTAATAGAGCAAGAAATGGTACTCATTGTCTACGAGTATTATAAAAAAAGCATGTTGCGCAGGCGAATACTGCAAATCAAACCTTTTGAGTTGAACATTATATTTTTTCTACGGCTATTACATTAATATTAAAAATTAGTCAAAATAAGAAAATGCTGTTTTGTATTGTAACCTCAGCTTCTTTCTTTAGGAATATTAATTAATATAGAGGATGAGTCACATAAAACTCTAGAAATGCATTTGTCTGAAAACAGATCACATTTTAAAATTTAACCCTATTAAAAGTCACTTGGTCGCTAGGGGTGGGTTATTATCGAAATAAATGATCGATCATGGAAATAATCGATTATTTTCGATCAATCCATTGTTTTCAATCTATTTGTTTTTCGTATTTCCCTTAAAATAGACTACTTGATTATCTTTGAAAAATCAAAAATAATGGATTAATTAAAAAGCCAATTAACCGATAAATCAGTGTTTACAAAAAATAAAAAAATTATCGTTTATTTTAAATAATCGATTATTTTCAAATAATCCATTTTTTTTCGTCCATTGAAACAGATTATTCGATAATCTTTGAAAAATCGAAAATAATCGATTAATCAAAAATAATCGATTAATTAAAAAGTCGATTAACTGAAAAATCGATTTTCAAAAAAAAACCGAATTATCGATTATTTTAAATAATAGATTATTTTCGATCAATCGATTATTATCAATAATTTACTTTTATTGTATTTAATTTAAAATCGATAATTCGATTATCATTGAAATACCGAAAATAATCGATTAATTAAGAAGCCGATTCTACGATAAATCTATTTTCCAAAAAAATAACCGAATTATCGATTATTTTCTAAAATGTAATCCTTTTCATATTTTCTTTAAAATTGATTATTCTATCTTTGAAAAATCGAAATTAATCGATAAAAATCGATAAATCGAAAATAATTATTAATTATAAAAAGCTGATTACCGATAAATCAATATTTCTGAAAAATAACCGAAATATTGTTTATATAAGATAACCGATTCTTCTCACTTTATTTTTGTCAACTATTTTCGACGGATCTTCTGTGGTAATTATTCCTACATCTTTTAATATTGAACTAGCAATCGCAACAGCTGATCGATCAGATATTCCATATTTATCGCATACAGGATCTAACGTAGGTAACTTTGTTCTTATTTGAGTGTTTTTTGAGGTAGAGGGTAAGTTTGGATTGATAAAGTCGTCATCTGAAGAGGATTGATATTTTGAGGGGTCAGATTCTGACCTTGACAATAATATAGTAGTTTGAGAGTAACAGCTGGGTCTTAATAAATTGCAAGATTCCTATTCATATTTTTTTAATCTTTCGATTTCTCTGGATTACCTTTGTTTATTCGACAATATTTTATTTGTTATTTCACGATCTATATTTTCTATGTCCAATTTTCTGACCGATCATTAATCAGAAATCAGATTCGAACCCGAGCTTTTTGCGTAGAATGCAGACGTTCTGTCCTCAACTCCACCGCACTTTTATGATCTTAGTTTTAATACTCGTAATTAAATTAATTTCATATAGTTTGATTAAAATTTTTTTACAAAATGTTGACCAAATAAAAATGTTATTATTTATTGATTCTACACAAAAATAATTCTAAATATACATTAAAGTGTATATTTAATCTCAATAACTAAAAAATATAATGACAATTAGTTTGACAGAATTATCACTTATTTCAAAATTTAAAAATAATAGTAGTTGGGTGACTAAAACATGAACTGTGATTGGAGGATTTTGTTTTTTGCAGTTTTTTCTTACCTAGAATGGATATGAAATATATTCGTTCAGTTGAACGCAATAGTATACTTTTTCGTTTTGTAGTCTGTGCGTAGATAAGCTAATATCCATGTGGGTGTAGAAAACATTAATAAACGATCCAAAAACAGCAAAATATACAAGGCTTACACAGTATAAAATGACTAGGTACCTTATGAAGAGCCAACAAATATATAAATAAAACTAAAATTTACCAGAAAATATATTTCCAAAGCACAAAAGGTAAAAGGCTCCTTGTAGCATTTTAAGACTGATTGGTTTCAGTTTTGTCCCTTCGTCCACTTTGATCTGTCTTTTCAAATCTTTGTTGGTGTCTTTAGCAACATTCTCCGCAATTTCTGAAGATGATATTGTTTTTTCTTTTCCTAACTTCTCATATTCATTTTCTGTCATTTTTGTAATAATTCCTGCTTCAAAAATTGCCATTAATCTAATAAAAAACGGGTACATTATGTAAATTATAAAAAAATGCTATACGAACGCCGAACAATTGAATCGGTCATTTCAACAACAACATAAGACAAAAACAATAAATGGTCAGTATTGAAGGATACAGAGTTGTAAGAAAACATATTACCTATCCCTTTTGGTTTTTCTTATTTTAAAAAACATAGGATAATAAAGTCAAGCGATTTAGGTCTAGATCCAAAGCCTGTCCATCTGATTCTTAAGAAAAAATTATTCAATAGTTTCCAACCCAACCATGTTTGGGATACGTTTTTATATAGGATATAACATTAGCTTAGACCTCAAAACATAAACCTCAAACCACTTAATTTATTTTACATGTAATAATTTTGAAAATCTGGTTCTATTCTTGTGACTCTGGAATCATTCTATACATTTTTTTAGCGTTGATATATTATAATGGATGATGGTATCAGAGCCACAACCAATATCTGTCACTTGTCGCTTGCTTACCATGACAAACGGCTGTTAAATTAAAATAATTCAAAGGCTTCGGTCGCTGATAATTAGGGTGGTCAGATTTTTGAACGGATATAAGAAAAAGCTCCTCCACTTATATTTTTATAAACCAGGTCCTCTATCTGAGGAGCTTCTCAAAAAAAGTTTTAACTCTTCAAACATTTCTTTATTTTTAACTTTGAATTTTAAAAGCGTAGCATTCAACTAAAAAGGGTGGCATTTCAGTAAAAAGAGTGGCATTTGAGTAAAAATCGTAGCATTTCTGTAAAAAGCGAGGCAGTTCATTAAATAGAGTAGTATTTCAGTAAAAAGCGTGGCATTTTATTAAAAAACGTGGCATTTCAATAAAAAGCGAGGCTTTTCAGTAAAAAGCGTTACATTTCAGTAAAAAGCGTGGTATGTAGGTGAAAAGCGGGGCATTTTCGTACTTGGCGTAACTCGTGCGAGCAAGTTAAAAAGCGGGACAATTACGTTTAAAGCGGGACGTCTGGCAACCCTACTGATAGTTAATGGACAAATTCAATCCAATCCAATTTAAAATGTAACCTCTTTAATTTCTAAAGCCAATGTTGGTCTAACTATTGGTTCACGTGAAAGCAATCCCCTGATGTAGTGGAGAGTGGGGCAATATCGACTGCTTAAACGCTGTTAATAATTTCAAATAGTGATCTTTGTAATAAGATGCTCAAAAGGGTAAAATTGCTTGGTTACTTTACCTAATACTAGTATTTTCTTTTGATTTTGCAAACAAACAAATTGTTTTTTGTAACGTATCTTGTTTAAAATAGAAGAAAAATTGGGTAATTTCGACCGGTAGGACAATACCGCCCATGGTGAAGAGCAAAATCGACCAAGCAGTAATAATTTATTGACCTAAAAATAGCAGTAATATTTTGAAATAAATTTTATTTTAATTGATTTACCCTTACATAGGTCACAGCGCTTCAGTACAGTCAGCATGGGACAAAGTTACACAAGATGTTAGTATTTCACAATTTTGCATTTTTCGTTGTGAAATTCTTGGTTGAAACACTGGAGCTGGACATAAGTCTTGAAAAGAAGTTTTTGTCCTTTTTTCTTTAATTTTTAAGGTTTTGTCATCATCATCGCTTAAGTTATCCTCAACAACTTTTTCCAAAATAAATTTAGAATCAGACGAATTTGATGACAGTCTACTACGTAAGTTTTTCAATCTTGCTGGAACAGTTCCACTTGGTCCTGGTTCTGAAGAAGGAGTTATATTACCTAAGTTGTCCACTCTTCCTGAAATAGTTCCACTTGGTCCTGGATCTGGTAAAGGAGTTCTATTACGTAAGTTGTTCAACCTTCATAGAGCAGTTCCACTTGGTCCTTGTTCTGCAAAAGGAGTCATTTGTTCAGCCGTTGTATTTTACCAATCTTCATAGATATATATAAAGTCTTTCTTACAAAACACATCACGATTGATGGGAAATATTCCGGTTGTTTTGCCAAAAAATTGGGCTATGTCAGTATCTTGAATGTATTCATGCTTTCTACTTTTCATGTACTTAACACAATATTGTTGGTAAGCTGTTTTTAAAGGGCTTGAAGAAACTTACATCCTGAGGCTGTGTTCTGTGGGATGTGTGGGGTGGAAGTGATAGTAAATGAATGCCAGAATTTCGACAACAGTTGTACGAAACTAAAGAGGAATCAGTATAATGATTAGCCAGTACAAGAAGAATAGGTTGCTCTGGAGTAGCATTAGCAAATTTTGCAAAATGTTGCAACCATTCGGTAAACAGCTCTTCTGTAATCCATCCAGATTTCGAACATTTGTATATCTTCATTTATCAATCTTTTAAAATATATATTGTCATGATGCGATAAAGCGGTGTACTACTGTAGTATTTTATCCCCTTTCTCCACTCGTTATCGCACCGACTTGCTTTTCTTCTTTTTTTTTGCTAATAATCGACCTGCATTTGGAGTCTCCTCTTTCAATTCGGCACGTGTTGAGACGACTATCTTCGTTCCACAGAATGTGATTCGTATGTAATGTATCTCTCTATTCAATTCGGTACGTGTTGAGTACGCATATAAGAATCCCTGTCCTAGATTGTGAACATTTGAAATACCCATTTCGTCAACGTTGTATATCCCAGGTAGCTCAGGACGTCCTAAGGACGTCCATTGCATGTCCATTTATCGTCAGTACGTCCAGGACCAATTCTGGACGTTTTAAGTATGTCCTCGGGACGTCAAGAAATAGATATCCGCAAAACGTCAATTCTACGTGCTTTACTATATTTTCATGGATTCATATTCGCATTGTATTATTATTTGGTTATATTATATAAAAAACATATAATGAGATAATATAAATAATCATTAAAGATGGTATTGTCCCAATATCCAATTGAATGAAGGCCAAATAGACAAAAACGACGAAGGTCATTTACAAGAAAGGGACAAGTGACATTTTATTTTTTATTTTTATTTATTTAGATTCAACACATACTTTGATTACAATCAAAGTATGTGAGATTCAAGCACTAAAATATTCTCAGGTTTTATTAAAAAAAAAAAAAGAAAAAGCAGTGTTCAATATTCATGATTCGATGATATATACATATTATACAAGTACAAGTTCAATCATTCCGCCATTTGACTGTGATTCGACTGTGAGTTTGTGGTTGATTAATATTAATTTTTTGCAGTTTGTACCATTTTTATGTCTGAGAAAGGTGGAAATTTTCCAGTGAATACTACAAAGCTAAAAGGTTAGTGAATTTATAATGTCTAGCAAGGCAAACTTAAACAAACAGATTGGATTTTAATATTGATCTGCCTTTTATTTTGAATAAGCTATTAAATTATTTTCAGGTTCAGCTGAGAAGGCGAATATAGCCAAATCAGGAAAAAACTGACTGCTGTCAATTCAGGCATGGTAAAAAAGAGCAAAGTAGGATGAACTTCGAAATGGTATTTTCAAAATAGTGATTCAATATTATTGAAAAAAACATCCTTGTCATACAATCCTTTATCCATATTAAAAAGATGTGGAATTTTATTTTCCTTTGTACATTTAAACACCAATGTACGTATATTTTGAGTAGTCAATCAATAAAATAACTTTGACAGTTTTAATATCGTATGAATATGAAGACTAGATATAAGGAGGCGAATCGGCCTTGGTCAAATTTCAAATATCCGTCCCTATTTTTATGAAGTTCCAAAAAACTACTGTAGTTGGCGGGTGGCAAAATAACGACGTCTATTTTCTATGCAAGTCAATGGGAAAATAAAGAACGTGACTACTAGTTACGATGAGTAACAAAAAACGGCAAAGCAGGATTTGCTTCGTTGCGGGTTGAAAAACGGGATATAAATCCGATATAAAATTAAAGAAAACACAAGGAGATAAAAATCCAAGTCTTTTTAAAGCTCCTTGTGTAAGTAAAATAATGTATTTCTTTCTAAATAATATATATTTATTGTAAAATAGTCACAACCCGTATCTTACGGAGTGTAGTTTATTTAATTACAAAATTCTATAATAAAAAATAATAAAGTCATAAATCCTGACTCACAAACAACAATAATTCCACATTAAATTTAACTTATTAGAAAAGAAAATTTGCTCTTTTTATGTTTTTTGATGTTAGATGAAGAGTTACCACTCTTATTTTTCTTTATTGAACTCTAATTTAGTCATTGCAAATATTTATAGGATCCTAAACGGTTAGAACAATGGCAGCATGTGATTCCTAGGGCTGATAAAGTACTGTCTAGTTATGATTCTGTTTGCGAGCTACACTTTTTAGAAGATATTTTAAAATTTGATGAGACTATTTTAACTAATGGTACTGTTAACAAAATAAAAAGGGAAAGGCCGAGATTAAAGAACGAAGCAATACCATGTATATTCCCGAATCTCCCTTCATACTTGTCTAGTATTAGGAAAAGACGAAACCACCATTGAACCGAACTGAATTTGTTAGAATAAAAAAGGAAGAAAATACTACAACCTATTGCTGAAGAAACTATTCACCAGGATGATGAAATTGTAGATGTCGAATACAAAATTACCACAAAACTGTTTTTACCAAATTTCACCATTTAACAAACCTTTTCAATTGTGGTCATACCTAATTTTCATTTTATTTAGATAAAATTAAATAATGAATAGTAAATAATGTTTAACATCGAGACTCATTTATAATTAATACCAACAGTATTTTCTGTACTTTAGTTAGCAATTAAAACAAAGACTTATTTACAATAATTAAAATCAACAGTATTTTCTGTGCTTTAGTTAGCAATAAACAATTTGATTTTTATTATTTTCATAAAATTTTGTAAAATCCCTGACTAAATATTTTCATTTAAACCGTGTCTTAGTATGTCCTCAGCCTTATTTAGCTTTAGTTAAAAAATAATTAGCCCTACCCATCAAATTTCAACACTTATCATCAATAATTTGCATTTTACTTAAATAGGAATAATAAATAGTAAATAATGTATCAATTAAAATATGTAAGACTTATTTAGAAATAAATACAACAGTATGTTCTGTGCTTTATTTAGCTATAAACAAGTTTATTTTTATTATTTTGACAAAATTATGTATAATTCCCATAAAAAGCCATGTATTTTGAACTACGTAAACCGTACCAGCGCCCATGCGGTTAATTATAAAAGCTCAATTGACGTGTGATTTTTGGGACCGTATTTTGAGCATGCCGATTCGCCTCCTTATCTCTAGTCTTCATACGTATGAACAACTTCTTCTGCCTGCTCTTTGGAGAAAAAAGGTTTTCTTCCCAACGTAATTTTTTTTGGTTGGAATCTACCTCGTAGCCTATATTGAAACATCAAACGTCTTAACGGCACCCCTAATGGATGAATTTTTTTCTCTCACGGCCTTTATCGATCTTTTCACGGAATTCTCCGTCCACGAAGAACGTCCAGTTTTTCGGACGTATGTTCGCTGCATATAAAATGAAATGTCATGTAATTTTTACATTTATTATATTACGCACTTTATTTAAAATAGCTAACAACTGCTAATCACGCCATACCAACCAAGTGTAAATATTAAGTCGGCTAATATCGATCACTGCAGGGGAATATCGATCAGCATGATCAGAACCAGTACATTTAACGTTAAAATTTTGTTTGCGAAAATTATAGAATGAAAATTTACTAAATTACACCCATATTATTATGAAAAAATATCCGCCGTATCCTAGCAACGTAAAATTCATTACACTTAGAAAATATTAAACTGAACCTACCTTAATAAAATTAGCAAGATTTTAATAAGAGAAAGAAGTCCACAAATGAACAAAACTGACACCATGGACACAGGACGAGTGATGGCACCATCTGTATCTGTAACGTGTGGACGGTGGATTAAACCACGGCACTTAGGCCTCACTAGGCCCATTGGGCATCCTCCTAAGTAGATGGGCACCTCCCAGCTCGTGAGCCATCCTACAGATTTAATGTAGTTGACAACGTCGCCAAGAGGTGCTTCTCTAATATTGGCCTGTGTTTGCCACTTCTCGCCGAACACAATTATTCTAATAAATGAGAGCGTCGGGCAATCGTGGAGGATATGCTCGATGGTCTCATCTTCTTGTTTGCACCCCTTGTAGTATTCAGATTCTGACAGTCTTATGATATGGAGTTGGCAATGTCCAGTCAGAATACCTGTGATCAGGCGCAGATTCTTTCGAGTCATAGTCAAATATTTGTACACTGTAGTGTTGTCAGGATAACTTAAAAGCTCCCTGGGGCAAGTCGAGCTTCTTGTTTAATTCCATCTTTCCTTGAATTTCACAAGGTAATGTTCCTTAATTAAGCCCGTCACTACCGATGTTGTCAGTCCAATAGAAGGGCCAGATCCAAAAAGTATTTGATAGTCCACCTTCTACCTTTCGATGTGGCGGATTCTGACAGCCCCATGATATGGAGATGTTTCAGTACTTGGCAGTGACCAGTCAGAATGCCTGTGACTAGGCGCAGATTCTGTCTAGTCATAGTCAAGTATTTGTTTGCTGCAGTGTTATCAGGATAACTTAAGAGCTCCCTGGCAACTCTGCAGTTTCTTGTTTCATCCGATCTCTGCTTGAATTTCATAAGGGAATGTTCTTTAATTAGGTTTGTCACTACTGATTTTGTCAGGCCAATTGAAGGGCCAGGTCCAAAAAGTATTTGGTTGGCTGCTTTCTTGGCTAGTGAATCAGCAAGACGGTTACCTTTAGATGTGGCGTGATCTTTGATCCATCTTAAGTTGACCATATTGTTGATGGATACTTCGGCCAAAGCTTCGTGACATTCTAGTTCTAACCCTGAATAAATTCGTAGTCTGTCCAGGGTGAGTAGTGCTTGTCTGCTATCTGTTTAGATGAGCATGTTTCTTCCAGTGATATTATTTCTGGTGATTTCTTTTGCTGCTATGAGAATCCCCGTGAGCTTGGTTTGAACTACACTAGCACTACTGCTCACAGCCCATTTTATGTTTAGGTTTAGGGATCTGGAGTATACGTTTTCCACCTGAGCCTTATTTTGTTTTAGAACTGTCGATGTAAATGTGAATCGTACCTGCCACTTCCGGCTCTTCTATTTGTTCTGTTATAACTTTATATGGCTTATGGAAGATAGATATATCTCGGTGAGATGCAGTCCGTGTTTGCTTGGAGCAGTGAGAGCGTATCAAGCGTCTCCTGCTAAAAGCGACATCTCGCCTCACCAAATTATACATCAGGTTCTATTTCAACTGTGCGGAGGCGTGTCATTGTAAACTGAAAATTCATTACACTTAGAAAATATTAAAATGTACATACCTCAGAGAAAGAAGTCCAAAAATGAAGAAAACTGACACCATGGACACAGGACGAGTGATGGCAACTGAATAAATTAGGCGCATACGACACCATCTCTCGGCTGGTCGGTACATTTCGCTAGTATGGCTCCAAGTTTATGAGATTTGAAACTGATCGATTTTGCCCGTCGGTCGATATTCTCCCACTCTCCCCTAATTAAAAATTATCTAATATTATTTCCTCACATTCTGCCAAAAATTGATTTTTACTTTTTGCAAATAAAAATTGACAAAAATGGCAAAAAATGTTGTGTTGTAAAATTCAATAAAATTATTTAAATCATGAACTTCTGTTATCTGATTTTCCAATGTGCTCTTACTAACATTTTATTAATTTCTTCAATATAGGGACATCCCAATTGCAGAGCTATAGCTGAATAAGCTGTGTTCAATTTTTCACTTAGATGAAAGTTACTTGGACCTAAAACAATGACTACCTTTATCTATTAAATCTTTCTTAATTAATGCTTCATAAAATTTCGATTACTTTATATTTAAAATTAACAATCATCCCAATAGATTTGGGCTTATGGCCTGACAACCTTTACATAATTAAATTTTCTCAAAAATGAATCGAAATTCTAGTAAACCATTTTTCTAAATGTACAAACAATAATTTATTTTACCAAATCTTTGAATGTCGAAAAATAAAGTTTCTCTTCCCGCCATTAGCACCACATTTTCTGAATCTTTTACTAACTCAACTCCTTGTTCTACCGAATTTACTAAGCTATTATTATATCCCTGGCCTAGTACCATCAAATTATATAATCTCGAGTAAATACCAGTTCCATTCTAAAATTCAAATAAATCGATTTTAATTAAAAATAATTAATTTAAATAAAGACTGGCGTTTCATTGCAAAATGAGCATAAGTTAGTAGCTTTGCAACTCGTGACTTCTCAACTAGGTATTCTACCCTTTTAAAAGTTAAAAACTTCGCCACTGGATGTTGAATGTTGTGCTTTTTGCTAGCTATTTGTAGTTGGGTACAAGTAACGACGGTGAATAAATTGTACTTTGTCACGCTGCGTGGGAGCTGTCGTGTAACCTGTCACATTCAAAGTAAATTTGCTTTTTCATGGATTTTTCGTTTTTGTGGCAATTAAATAATATGCTTTTAGACATCAATAATAATAAAAATGTGTCGCCCGGTTTTGCTATTTCCGGTGTAAGGATTTCGACTACGTGATCGGATATTTGCATTTTTTAAATAAATTCGGGATATAGCTTAATCTCGGTTTTTCTAAACTAAAGCGGATACTGCAAGCATGTAGTGACTTACATACACTACATACCTTCCTTCTTAACTCACCGCAACTCACATGCGTCATATACACTATCACCTTTAGATATCCTTACTTCACGTGGCAGCCTTACTAAAGGATAAAACTCGCCTCGTTAGCAACCTCGGTTGCACAGCAATATTTTTATTACATTGTCAATATATTTTATTTTCAACAACTCTACAATAAATTTATTACATTTACATCAACAATAATTTATTTATAGTTGGAATTCATAATTTGAGACCCCTAAAAGCATTTTGTTATGTCGGCGAAAGGGTTGATTTGCATAAAAGTGTAATTTTGAAATAGGTGTGAAATTGAAACCAAAATTAGAAAAGTGCGGTTTATTTAATTTCAAAATGTTTGTACTCTCAACCGAAATTATTGCCCTTGCAAGCATTTTTTACTCAGAAGTTCGGTATTATACGCCGACACTCGAACGGCGGATATAACTATTAAAATGTTATGAACACTTTGAAACACACTATACATAACAATTTTGGGTCCGCTAACACTTATTTACAAAAAAATTTTTACTTTAAAATCCTTAAAATTTGTTGTCGGGTCTCCATCATAAAAAAAATGTGAAATAAACCATTTTCACTGATTTCTTGTTGTAAAAACGGCTAAATATCAATATAAGACCATTCATACACCCTACCAAATTTTTTCATAAACGATAAAATTTTCTTATTTTTCATTTTTAGTTTGTTAGTAAAACAAATAAACATTAAATTATTTTCATTGACAATTGATGTGTCTAGTTTCTATAAATGCGGTGTTGCCAAATCGAGTAAGAAAACATATAAGTCAGGAAATAATTCGGTTAGTGAAAGTTGGCTTAAAAATTACATAGTGTCTGGCCAGCAGGTAAATTTGGATCTCGAAGTGAACACATTTGTAGGAATCACAGACAACCGTCTTTTTATTTCATTTCTTGATGATTGTACGTTAATTACGGCATGTCGGTACTTATCTAATATTTAAAAAAAAAATTTCAATTTGTGCTGTGTCCAGGCCGTTGGAGTTTAGGCCGGTCGGCGTAGTCAGGTATGGTTTAAAAATTTTCTGGTGGCGGCAAAGCCGCCACCTTACAAGAAGTCGTTTCTTCATTATATTATTGTATATTTTCTTATTATTAGATGCCCACGATACAAGACACGTTCGTTAAAAGTTGGGATTGAGGTTCACTGGCCAGATGCTAATGAGGGTTGGTTAGGTTAGGCTAGGTTTTTTTTTTCAATTTGAGCTGTGTCCAGGCCGTTGGAGTCTATGCCGGTAGGCGTAGCCAGGCATGGGTTAAAAATTTTCAAGAAATCGTTGCTTCATCTTCTTATTGTATATTTTTAGTTTAGGTTAGGTTAGGTTAGGTCGTCAAAGAGTACTCTGCCGATGAGGGTGAGGAAGAAGATCTTGATATGGGTATTTTTTAAATCGTTAGTTTTATATAATTTTTCTGATACTGAAGTCAATTGGTTGGCCTGGTACAACGCAGGGTATAGGTAAAAATTACCATTGCTATGTAATAGGTAATTGATATGTCAACATTGTATTTCTTTTAGACATATGTCACACTGCAAATCTTAATTGTCAAACGGGGTTGGTTATGATGGACAAATAATGTTATTTTTCACAGACACGTTATTTGTGAATAGGTTGTTATTTCTGTGTGTTTATAAAATAACAGACCTGTTAATCATAACCCCCATAGTCTTTACGAAAATTAAAAAATTTGGACGAACCTAAACACGGGCTTAAATGAAAAAAATTAACTGTACGAAAAAATTTGGATGGTTTGTTGCATTATGAATAGTCTAGTGTTATTATTTAGCAGTTTCTATAACAAGAAATTAATCAAAATGATGTAGTTCAAATTTTTTCAACATCGAAATTGGAGGACACATTTTAATAGTTTTAAGGTAAGAAAAAAATATTTTACAGCGTTTGCAGGGCAAAAAAGGAGTCCCGTCGACTTTAGGGACAGTGGAATTTTAAAGAAATTTATTTTTTATTAGAAAGAGCGTATTTTAAATAGTACATTTAAAAAAAAATTGCGGTAAATGCATTATTTAAACCAAAAAAATTATTTAATTTCTATAAAAAATCAGCATTTTGACGACTGTAAACATCGAAACTCGATGGTTTCTGTCAAATTTGGAAAATATAATTGCAACGTTGCCGGATTGTGATAAAATTAGTAGTTAATGGAAAATTGTGATTGCGCATACCGGTCCATAAATATGCAGCAAGAAAACGAAGCCACGACTTATCGTAGGGTGGCGGCGAAGGTATTTATCAGTTGTACCCCATTCAGCCTCTTATTCGCCCCGAGTTTTCGTGAAAAACGTGTCATAGTATAATTTATGGTGAATAGGGTAAAACTACTAAATAAAAAATGCTTGCAAGAGCGATACTGTTAGTTGAGAGTCATACAAAAATTTTAAGAGCAATTAAACCACTTTTCGACTTTTGATTTACTTCTATTTCCAGGTTACATTTTTACTTTCCTATCTGTGTACAGATATGGAAAGTATAGGAATCATTATTTTTTTCGACCTCGATTTTTTGATGGATTTTTACGTTTTGGGTTCCTTGAATCCGTTTTTGACTATTTTCGCGATGATGTCTGTGTGGTGTCTTTTGGGGTAGGGTTTAAGATCACCTGCATTGCGGGCGTAGGTCAGGTTCTCATTGCATCGATGATGCAAACACAGGCAAGTATTTGTACTTTCGAGATAATGGGGTCTATTCTGTAACAATTCCTTTACATTTAACGGCCTTTAAAAATATTGGCGGCCTATAAAAATATGTTCGTATTCATTAATTTACTTCTGTCATTATTTAAACAGATTTCTTTAAGATAGTCCTCTAATGTATTTTAAAGATCCGTTTAAATAATGACAGAAGTAAAGAAGAAAATATTTTTAAATGCCATTAAATATAAAGGAATTGTTACAGAATAGACCCCATTAGGTGTCAAAGTAGCTAAACTAGTTCTGTTACTCCAGGCTACAGTAAGTGATGATTGGTCTTACTATTGCTTTATACATATATCGCAGTGTGTTCGGGTTACTTCCCCATCTTTTACCCGCAATATTTTTACATACCATTAGGACTTTTGTGGCCTTATTTACTATTTTCTTCTCGTGTATGTTCCAGAAAACTTTGTTGTCTGAGGTTAGCCCTAGATATTTAACTTTTTCCCTTCTATATCTATATCGTCTGCATGCTAGTTTAATTTCGTTTATGGCATTATTATTTTTATCCTTTGTATTATATTATATATGTTTTAAACATACTTTTAAGGAACCTTCTATTTTATCTTACTTATTAACAAATTCTCATCTTTTTCATAAAAAAAATAGTAATATTTTATTGGATAATATAACGCAGGTAAGTCACTATTTGCGAAAATTCACCCCGAGTCCTCAGATACAGGGCAATTTATTCATTTTGCTCATTTATCAGTTATTAATAACTTGCACTGTATATTTCTTTCATATTCACTACAAATGTATTTTGTCCAGTATGCATGGGCGAAGTTAGGGGAGGGCTTGGGGGGCTAAGCCCCCCCAAAAACCAAATTAGCCCCCCCAAAAATAATTCGAACATTTATCGCACATCCACCCATACATTTCAGATTTTAGAACAGAAATTAAAAAATAAAAAGAATCGTGCCATTTGATTGATTCTGCAATTTTACATTTAGCTCAGGAGGCAGTGAATTTTTTTCGTACCTACTCATTTTTCCACAAAATTTTTGAGTCTGACTCTTATTTTCCCAGTCATAAATATTATACATTTACTAAACTAGAACAAAAAGTTTATAAAAATAGCAGTTTGGATTATCTCAGATAGTGGAAAGTGAGTGTGGCAGAAAATTTAGCATATAAATTGATACAATCATGAAATGTTAATAATAATGTCTGGCTGATTTACGAAATTGGCAAATGAGTCTGGTAACATATTCAAAATCAAAAAATATAATATTTTTGCTATTATTTTCCCGGGTTTGAAAATTTGTCACGTAATAGATTATATTGTAATTTTACACCTCTATTTTATAGCCGATCAAATGCTGTTATTTTAAAACGTTTCCATGACAACCAGAAAAATTTCCGGTAATTTTCCTATTGGTGGGTACCCTAAACGAAATTATACTAAAAATTTTTTGAAAGTTGAGAAGCCCTTCCATGCATAAAATATTACGACGCAACGCGATAGTGAGATTAAAAATTTGCCGTTTTAGTGGTTAATATTTTATTTAATACCAATTATAACTAGGTAGAAATACACTACATTTATTTTAAGTAAAATAATAATGAGGTTTTTCGCGTCAACTAAACGACTTCAAATGTGACAAATGGTCATGGTTTGGCCACAGCATTTAAAAATATATGTTTTATATGCTGTGGTATGGCCAGCTTTGAAAATTTGATTTTAGTCGTTTTAATGTATGTCTGTCAAGTTTTGAAATTTGGATATTTTGCTGTAAAATTTTCTTACCCAATACCACATGTGCTTAAATTATTATCAGTAAATTTTTGCTCACTCACGCATATTTTAAGAAATTTATCCATCGTCTTCGACTAAATTTCAAAATATTCTTAAGTTCGAAAAAATTTCCGGAAATTATTTAGTGACTAGTGGTATTCTAAGTGAAAATACACGTCTGGCTGACAATTACAATCACGATGGCCTGCCAGACTCACAAGTAGTGTCCGACCGAAGGTTCGGTTAGGGTTTCGGCCAACTTCGGCTTAAAATAAGAGTTTCGACTACAGTTTCAGTTTCGGCGAAAAACTGGCCGAAACTGCAGCCGACAGCAAAACTACTTTCGAAAGTTTTCGTATCACACTTGGTTGTATCCTGCACAATGGCGACTGTGCCGGGTGCCATTCTTACACAGTGCACGTACACACAAACTTCTCTGCTTTGTTTCAAGTGAACAGTCTTCAGTGTTCCTGGCCTAATTTATTCGGATCAAAGGAGCAATTTTTTAGGTGAAAACGTGGAAAAATATTTTTTTTTACCCTACAACGTTAGACTGTTTACTTATGAATATTAATTTAATTATAAGTAACAAACATATTTAATCCGCTGAATTTGTTTATTTTTTTTTTTAAATAAAAATTATATATTATATATAATTCCCTTCATAATACTATTTTTTGTTACAAAATATCTACTACAGATGCAGAAATGATTGATACTTACTCTTTTTTTTAATTTTAAAAGTAATAAAAAAACAATGTCCATAAATTTATTAATGGCTACTTTTGATCACCAAAAATAAATAGGTAATAAGTAAATGTAGCTTAAATTTATAATACGAGTTAATTAGTCTAAAACAGGGACTACAATAAGATACTGCAAATTTCAATAAGAGATTGCCTTAAAACAAAGTTCTTGTTTCTGTTTCGGTTTCGGCCGAAACTAAGAAAGGAGCCGAAATTTAGTTTCTGTTTCGGTTATAAAACCATATTTCGGTCGGACCTGACAAGCCAGGTAGTTAAACGAGGAGAGGAATAGCAATCGAACGTGCCGAATTTAGCGCGCCTGGCGATCATTAGATGAGTCTGGCAAGGCTTTCGGGGTGTTCCACATCAGCCAGATTGTATTTGAAGCTGTTTTCATATTATACATTTTTCTAGTAGTGAGAACACTTGTAACAGGGATCCTTACTGGACAATGCCAACTAAAAGGACACCTTAGTAAACTGAGATTAGTAGAAGATAGTAACTGCAGATTCTGTGAGGAGGACGAAACCTTCGTTCACATTCTAACTGAATGTGTAGCACTCCAGAATCAAAGGGCACTATACCTAGGAACATATAAAATAGAAGAGGGAAATTTAACTAACTTGAAGCCACTCCAAATCCTACACTTCCTTCAGAAAATATAATTGGAAGGATCGTTATAGGCACTGAGACATTTCCGTGCTGCATAAGCGACAGAAGGGAGCACAATAGATCTTTTAGGTCGCAGTGTATTAACACCCCATTTCCAACATAACAGAAAACTGCAAAAAAATGAAATCCACCAATCACAGTTCATATTTTGGACACCCAACTTCTATTATTTTTAAAATTTTAAATTCTGTCAGTATATTTTTTAGTCATTAAGATTACATACGTTAAAATTAGTTATGTTTGTTTAGAATCGATAAAAAATGGCATTTTTATTTGGGCCAAATTTAAAAAAAAATAATTTTAATCAAATTGTATGAAACTGATTTAATTACGAGTATTAAAACTAAAAACCTGGAGTGGAGTGGAGCATAGGACAGAGCATCTAGATTACACGCGAATAGGGTGGGTTCGAATATGGACAAGAGGCTTATTTTATGTTTATTATATTTTATAAATTAATAAAATTCATAAATTATTTTAAAATTAGTTATTTTGTCTAAACCTAAAATAATTTTTAAAATTTTTATATTTTCCTTAGTGGTTCATAGAAAAAATATACTGTACTCTGGTTGCACAAACTACTATTTCATGACTGCGAAAATGAGGAATTTTTTTTTTATTGTGATGAAAATTTTTCAGGTTTTTTACTTGACATAAATATATATTATATATGATATTTTATCCATTTTCATAGATACGCCAGAATTTTTATACTTAACTTCAGTATACCTCTAGAACTATTATATATTATATGACTAGGGCTAGGGCTTTAGCCCCCCCAGATCTGATGACATAACTTCGCCCATGCCAGTATGGTGTCGAATAGCGTATAAATATCTTGCTCTGATTAATAGGTAATAAAAATAAATTCAGTTCACTTCAAAACAATATCCTGTATATCAGAATATTGCAAATCTGTTTGCATATTGTGAAAATATCAGAAAAAATTAAGTTAAACTATTTCCGCATATTTAATTTTGTACAAAATTTAAAAAAAAATCCTAAAAAACAACTTATTCAGTTGTAAACCATAAAATCGTCAATATTTTTGGATTCTCTTAATTTTGCTTAGGCGATCGTCCCCACTTTACATTTACAAAAAATTTGATTACAACAATCACACTACAAATTAATGGCTAAGTCATCACACTAAGTCTTGAGAGATCTTTACTGAACAACTTACTTCTAAAAGACTATGTGAAGAACTATGTTTTTCGATATACAACTTGTATCCTCTAGATATAATGGCTTCTTCTAATTGATAAAGATTGTGTACAGCTTTTTCTAAAATATATATATATAATAAAAAAGTGATTATAAGATATTTAATATACGAACCTCTTCCAGGTCTCGCTAATAAAGAAGTTAGGTTTGCTGAATACATATCACTTATCACATATGTTGCTGAGAACGACAATAATATAATAAAAAATCTGGTTTTATTATTTGAATTAGGCTCTTTTCCAGCTAAAACAAAAAAGTAAATGTACTTACGCTGTACAGGGTGTTTCATAATATATGCACGCAGGACTTCAGGAGTGATAGCTCGTCCAAAAATATGAAAAAACTTACCCTCTAAAATGCACCATTTTCGAGATGCAGGGTGTTGAAATTAAAAAAATTTTTCTACGCCATTGGAAAAAGTACGGTTTTGAGACGCCCATTTAAACCGCCAATGTTTTCTACACAAAAAAGATACTCTTGGTCATACGCTCTAAAATCGACCGTTTTCGAGAAAAATCAAATTTTGTTTCATCAAGTATGTTTTAAATTTCAAAACAAAAGCTACCTCCTGTCAAAATAACAATTAGTTTGTGGCTGCAAAATATAAATTTGTATTATAAAATTCAAAATAAATTATACAAACGCTGAAATGTGCGAAATGCATTACCTTTACGGATTGGCGGAAGGTAATACGGCAGAAGCAAGGCGGTTGTATCAAGAAAGACCTGATCGCCAAGTACCACACCATAACCTGTTTCAACGCATTCACCAACGACTATGGGAAAATGGAAGTTTTAAAAAGAATACTACTGATAGTGGGCGGCCTATGGAAGTTGCAATTCCCCAAGAAGAGGCTGTCCTCAACGAAATTGAAGAAAATCCGACCACAAGTACCAGACAAATAGCTCACAACTTAAACTTATCTCACTCAACGGTGTGGAGAATTTTGAAAAGACAACTTTTGTATCCCTATCATATCCAAAGAGTACAAGATTGTCTTTTTGTATATAGATGGATGCAAGACAAAATAGCTTAAAATCCTCGGTTTGGAGCCGAAGTTCCGTTTCCGATGAAGCATCTTTCTCGAGAAATGGTATTTTTAATTTTCACAATAACCACATATGGGCTGAAGAAAATCCACATGAAATTGTAGAACGCCGTCATCAGCAACAATTTTCCGTAAATGTTTGGGCTGGCGTCGTCGGTGACAATTTGATAGGCCCATATTTTTTGCCGAACAGATTAGACGGTGCAGATTATCGACAATTTCTAGAAGAAGTACTGCCGGAGCTGCTAGAAGATGTACCGCTTCACGTAAGGCAGAACATGTACTTTATGCATGATGGAGCTCCAGCCCATGCCAATACTTGGACGACGAATACCAAGACCGTTGGATCGGTCGAGGAGGTCCACACCCTTGGCCCCCGCGATCTCCCGACCTTAATTGTTTACATTTTTTCTTTTGGGGCCATCTTAAAACCCTAGTCTACGCTACTCCAGTTGAAAATGTTAACCAATTAAGAGAGCGCATTGTTGCATCTTCCGACATAATTCGGAACACTCCGGGAATTATCCTGCGTGCATTGAAGCTAACGTCGGACATTTCGAACATTTACTTTAACTGTGTATGATTTGTTATTCTTTTTTTTTAATATTTTGCAATTATGAAGTTAACGTTTGCTTTTGTTACTTGTTCTAACGTTTAAAAATGTTGTTTCATTAGTGAGAAAAAAGTGTATTTCAACATTAAAATTTTATTTTTCTCGAAAACGGTCGACTTTAGAGCGTATGGTACTTTTCCTTTTTTGTGTAGAAAATATTGGCGGTTCAAATGGGCGTCTGAAAACCGTACTTTTTCCAGTGGCGTAGATTTTTTTTTTTTTCAATTTCAACACCATGTATCTCAAAAATGGTGCATTTTAGAGGGTAAGTTAATAGAAACGTTTTTTCATATTTTTGGACGAGCTATCCGTCCTGAAGTCCTGCGCATATATTATGAAACACCCTGTATAATGTCTGCCAAGCATCGCTTATGAAAAATGCCGTCGAATCGTGGGACGCACCTGAGGTCTCTCCCTCAGTCGTTGCCTGGACTTACGCGGCTATGATAAGACATATGCTAACATACGGTGCAGTTGTTTGGGTACCAAAACCACATACTTTGATTACTATACGAGGCAAGAGAGAGGTCCGACACGCCCAACATAGGGCGCGGCCATTTTGAACCCTGTGACACAGTTTACAGCTCAAGAATCAGATCGCTCACTCTGCGTCGGCACTTTTGATCTCAATGTTTCAGTTTATACACTGTGCAACTCGGATAATACAATATATGACAACCGCCTATAATAAAACAGCAGTCTTCTGCGTATCCTGAATTTGTATCCCTGGAGTGGATGTTATTTTGGAACTTTCAACTGGTCCGAGTGAGCTAACTGATTCTTTAGCAATAAACTGTGACTTCAAAAATAATATTCACCACATACTTTGATTTTCTTTTACTATACGGAGAATGGTCGCACTGCGCAGCTTTCTGAGTGCCTTTTAAAAGGAGATAGAAAACTCCGCCATTTTGAACCCTTATTACCCCAGCAAACCATTCTGTTACATGTTCCCTCCTGTTACATAACTAAGAAGGATAAAATATACTTAGACTGTCCTGTATGCACTTTTATGTGTTATTTATGGAACCGAACACTTAAGTTCAAACTTAGCACCATAGTTATATACCATGTATATAATTAAAATATATGTTACAAAATTACATATCCGTTATATAAATTTAATCACATAAAGATTATATAAATTTATATATCTATGTGTAATCTACATTAAAGTAACAATTTGTACTAAATTATTTCATTCAAAATGTTACATAGCGTATATATACAAAAATGCTGTTGACCAGACGGTCCTTGAAATACACATGTTTTTTAGGTAGGTAAGTAGGAATATCTGGTGCATTATTTTTAGTAGTGTTTCAATGTTCAATGGCGGCTATAGGCGTTTTATGGAGGTACCTGTGACATTTTTGGATTTATTGTGGAAAATAGCAGGTATGTTGTGTTTTTATAATGATATTGAGTTATTATATGTGTGTACTGTATTTCGATGATACATTTGAGGTGTAAATATTAATTTTTGTTCTCTTTTCAGGACATGCTTTATGAGGCCCTGAATTTCGAGGCCGTGGATCGTCGTTAATAGCAGATATTTTGTGATTTTTATGATGAATTTGGGTTATTATATTTGTGTGAAATATTTCTATAATATATTTTTGGTTTCGGTTATGAATTTGTCCAATAAAATTATTGATATACCTAACAAATACGTTTTACTTTTTTTTATTCCTCTAAATATTTTCGACGTGTTTTTGTATTTGTCATATACAGTGTGTCTACCTAAGTTAGAACCATATGGAAAACTTTTTTATTATTGGTTATGTGAAAAAATTTATTTATTATGTAATAAAGTTATTTTAAATTAAAAGTTATATTTAAATATACAATTACAACCATTTAGCATTAAAATTCAGGTTCGGTGGTTAATTAATTTATAACTACAAATAATTTATAATGTAAAACGTAAATAATCACCTAACCTGAATTTTTATGCTACATGACTGTAATTGCATATTTAAATATAACTTTTATTTCAAAATAACCTTACTTTATAATATTCTTCTGTATTGTTAAAAATAAAGGTACTTTACTCTTGAGTAAAATTCATATTTGTAGACAAACCTCGTATACGGCTTAAAAAAAATTTATATCTGATGGTTGCATTTTAAGTTTTGGACCGTGCAGAACCTTTTATCAAAAATACATTTTTTCACAAAACCAATAATACAAAAGTTTTCCATATGGTTCCAACTTAAGTAGACATACTGTATAACTAATACGTACATTTTTAGACGACACATTTACATACCTTCATTTATATAACATTTATAATACTAATGTTATATGAAAAAAGTAATATATATGTGCTGTAATAATGAAGCATATTAAATGTTACAATGGTAATATAAATGTTACATGTCTTCCGATATATAACACTGTTCTTTACATGTACTTAACCCATTACATCACATATAAGGAATCTGCTATATAACAAAATTAGGTCATTTTTCACAGTAATCACGTGAGTTATTATGTAACATGTAAGTTACTTTGTTATGTAACACGGAACTAGTACATGTAAATGATACATATATGTTACATGTTTGTGTTTGCTGGGACGTGTTGCCTACATCTTGGCGCAATATTTTTAATAGGTGCGTTTTAATCATCCGCTTCTGCTTCGGAATTGCCGGTTTTCTTGTTTTAATTTGACAAGTTAAAACGACTAAACCGACAATTCCGGAAGCAGAAGCGGATGATTAAAACGGATCTGATATTTTGCATGCGGCTGTCACTGTCAGTGAATATTATTTTTTGAGTCACAGATTATTGCTAAAGAATCAGTTAGCTCACTCGGGCCAGTTGAAAGTTTCAAAATAAGATCCACTCCAGGGATACAAATTTAGGATACGCAGAAGACTGCTGTTTTGTTATAGGCGGTTGTTATATGTTGTATTATCCGAGTTGCGCAGTGTATAAACTGGAACATTGAGATCAAAAGTGCCGACGCAGAGTGAGCGATCTGATTCTTTAGCTATAAACTGTTGCATAGGGTTCAAAATGGCCGGGCCCTATGTTGGGCGTGTCGGACCTCTCTCTTGCGCCGTATAGTAAAGAAAATCAAAGTATGTGAATATTCACTGACACTGACAGCAGC